CGGCCTCCCGCGGCGGGGAGCGGAGCAGCCGGCCCGGCCCCCGGGCGCGCCATGCGTAGCACCACGCTGCTGGCCCTGCTGGCGCTGGTCTTGCTGTACTTGGTGTCCGGGGCCCTGGTGTTCCGGGCGCTGGAGCAGCCCCACGAGCTGGAAGCCCAGAGGGAGCTGGGCGAGGTCCGAGAGAAGTTCCTGCGGGCGCATCCGTGTGTGAGCGACCAGGACCTGGGGCTGCTCATCAAGGTGCGTGGCGGCCGCAGCGCCGGGTGCGGCTGTCGGACCGTATCCCTGAGGCCAGGGTGCACCTGGGGCTGTGGGCAGAGACCGGGACCCAAGTCTCTGGGCCCAGCCGTGGGGACGTTTATTTTCCTCGGATGCCCGGCCCAAGACTCCTAGGATGTCCTCTTCAGTGTGTGATGGTGATGGAATGAAGGAAAAATGAATGAATGAATGAATGAATGGCTGTGGCCCATGGGGTATGTGTTTTCTGCACAGGTCTAACTCACCTGCTTAGGTTGCCAGATAAAATTCAGGACACAACGCCCTGAATTTAAACGTGATTGTCAGCTAAACCACGAAAACCTTTTTAAATATAAATGCATCCCAGGCAATATTTTTGTTTGCTCAATCTGGCAACCCTACCTACACTGGTTCTGAAGCTTTTCTGGAGTCACGACGCCTTAGAAAAGCCCAAGAACACCGTGAGCACTCCCCCTGCCCCTGAAAAGTGGGCCTATAAACACGGGTTGCTTCAGAGAGTTTCAGGATCCCCCAAGTCCTGTCCATGTCACCACAGATGCCAGACTAGGCCCCTTCTCTCCCAGGACACATGCTTACCGTGTGTGGAGGGAGGGTGGGCATATCAGAGATCTGGTGGGAGTCAGGCTTCTTGAGACATCTCCGGTCAGCCTCCACCCGGAGGCTAGAGAAAGTGCCAGACAGCAGCCTGCCGGGGTACCGCCCGGCGAGCACCCCTGTTGCTTTTGCTGATTTCTGAGTTACTGTCACACCAGAGAAAACAAGACTTAACTTTAATAAATGAACGTTTATTGCTTGATCGAAGAGTCCCTTTGCTCCCTGCTTGTGCTTTGAGGAGGGAGGGGCCGATGGCATGGAGGCCTCAGCATTCCAGTTGGTTCCTAAGGTAGCAGGACCCAGGGTCGAGATCAGTGTAGGCGGGCCCAGGACATAAGCCACCCTGACGTCGCCTCTCACACTTCCAGAATGTCAGAGGAGGCTCGGAGAGGCCTGGGAAGACAGTGTTTCTGGCCAGACTACAGGGCGACAGAGGCAGGGAATCTGACCTAGTTTACCTTCAGAATGGAACTGCTTTTTTCCTGGACAAGAAAAAAAGAAGAGGAGGAGGGCCAGGACCTGGAAGAGTGGGTGACAACTGGTTTATTTCTCTTCCACTGTAAGATCCACTCTTGGAATTAGTTGTACAACAATTGTGCACCTACTGTGTGTAAGGTGCTATAGTGTCGCACATCATGGGGGTATTGGGGTGGAGCCGGTGCAGGCTGTGCCTTGGAAGATGTCACATCTAGGCGAGGGGACACGGGCGGACAGATCACTGCAGGATGCAGTGGAAAGGCAGCTTTCCTTCCTGCCGCCTTTGTTGAGTACCCCTTGTGCAGGGCCCCGGGTAGGTGCAGGGAGCCAGGCGGGACATGGCAGGGGCCTTTGGGAAGAGCCAGGAGTTGACACGAGCCAGAGGAGAGGGGCGGAATTTGGAGACTGTGGGCAAGAGACTGCCATGCGGGGGAACAGCCTGGACCAAGGTGTGGAGGCTGGAAGGTTCCGGAGCGTTTCTGCAGAGCCTGGAGTTAGCAGATGCCTAGTCATTTGAAGTAAAAATTAGAACACACAGGATGACACAGGATTTTTTTCCCCTTAAGCGGCGAATGTGTTGGGAAAGTGTTGCAAAATACAAATTAAATCACCTTTAATCAGATGTTTCACTTCTTGCGTTTATTACAAATGATCACAGGAAATGGAATTGTCTTGGAAAAATGGGGGGGGAGATGATGTGATGTGGGAGGCCCCTTTCCCAAGAAGACTTGGGAAAGGGAGGTTGGGACCAGGGGCTCGAGTGCCGGGCTGGGGAGTTTAGACAATTGTGCAGACAGCAAGGAGCCGTGGAGGGCTGTGAGCAGTTGCTGTAGGGAGGCTTTGGAATGGGTCTTGCTTATGGGACCGTCGTCAGGGAGAAAAGCGGTGGTTTATTATTTTCCCCACAGACCCTGTCCTCGGGCCATAGGGCAACCACTCTCAAAACACAAACCCTGGTCAGACACAGTGGCTCATGCCTGTAATCCCAGCACTTTGAAAGGCTGAGGCGGGAGGATCACCTGAGCCCAGGAGTTCAAGACCAGCCTGGGCAACATAGCGAGACCCTGTCTCTACAAAAAAAATAACAATATGAGCCGGGCATAATGGCACGTGCCTGTAGTCCCAGCTACTCAGGAGGAAGGATTGCTAGACCCCAGGAGTTTGAAGCTGCAGGGAGCTATGATTGCACCACTGCCCTCCAGCCCTGGAAGAGTGAGACCCTTTTTTCTGCAATAATACTTATTGGGCACCTAGTAGGCAACACAGGGTTTGGCTTGGACTTCAGAGGCATGGAGGGGTGTGTGTGTGTGTGTGTGTGTGTGTGTACCTTCTAAAAATCGGATGCAAAATGAGATGATCTATGAACCTTCCTGTAGAGAAAGTCCCTAGCTTTCATGAGATCTTCTAAGGCAAGGAACTCTAAAGGAAGCTTCCACAGGGTCAGTGGGCTTGGTGGGGGTCTGTGGAGTTCCCCATGGGGACTTACTTAACAAACACACGAGTTCACTTTGTTGCAAGTGCTCTAAACTCTTCACAAGTCTGGGAGGTGGGTGGATGACCATCCTCCCCACTGGACAGAGGGAGGAGCGCAGAGTTAACTTGCCGTGGTCAGATGGCACCGAGATTTGAACCCAGGCAGTCTGGTCCCAGCGTCTGTGCTCCTGACCGCTGTAAAGTCGGAAACCTGTTGTCTGAAATACTCAAACGTTGTAGCGGTCAAGCAAACTCGCCTTCGGGTGGACTGGGCCACCCCATTTGGATCTGGACAGGTCCCTAAAGAACTGCCTTCCGGGAGGCCAGAGGGGAGGGGGAGGTG